ATCTTCATCAACGATTTGGACGAGGGGATAGATGGGGAAATCATCAAATCTGCAGACGACACCAAGCTAACAGGTATAGCTAACACTCCAGAAGACAGGCTTAGGATACAGGAGGATCTGGACAGACTTGAACATTGGGCGCTATCTAACAAAATGAAATTCAGTGGTGAAAAAAGTAAGGTTCTACATTTAGGCAAGAAAAACCAATGTACAGGTATAGTATAGGGGGTACCTTGCTCAATAGTAGTAACTGTGAGAGGGATCTCGGAGTCCTAGTGGACAATCATTTAAATATGAGCCAGCAGTGTGCTGCAGCTGCCAAAAAAGCCAACACAGTGCTGGGTTGCATTAACAGAGGGATAGAATCAAGATCACATGAAGTATTAATACCACTTTACAATGCCTTGGTAAGGCCACACTTGGAATACTGCATCCAGTTTTGGTCACCACGATGTAAAAAAGATGTTGAGACTCTGGAAAGAGTACAGAGAAGAGCAACAAAGATGATTAAGGGACTGGAGATTAAAACATATAAGGAACGGTTACTGGAATTGGGTATGTCTAGTTTAATGAAGAGAAGGATGAGGGGTGCCATGATAGCAATGTTCCAATATCTCAGGGGCTACCACAAAGAAGAGGGAATCAAGCTATTTTCCAAAGCGCCTGAGGGCAGGACAAGAAGCAGCGGATGGAAACTAATCAAGGAGAGAAGCAACCTAGAACTAAGGAGAAACTTCCTGACAGTTAGAACAATTAACCAGTGGAACAACCTGCCTCCAGAAGCGGTGAATGCTCCAACACTGGAAGTTTTTAAGAAGAGACTGGACAGCCATTTGTCCGAAATGGTATAGGGTTACCTGCCTGAGCAGGGGGTTGGATTTGATGACCTCCAAGGTCCCTTCCAACTTTATTATTATTATTATTATTATTATTATTATTATTATTATTATTATTATTATTATTATTATTATTATTATTATTATTATTATTATTATTATTATTATTATTATTACTTGCTTTTTAAGAACTGTGGAGGTGAATACTTATTGACTTTTGCTTAATAAATAGCCTTCACTAAAGGTCTACCTATAACCATGCTAGGAATGGAGGAGGACCAGCAACAAATCTCGGCTAATTATAAACTTATAGTTGAAAAAATTCTTGAAGCTACTGAGATAATTAAATCTAGACTGAAAGTAATACCAAGACGGAGGGCGTTAAAGATCAACAAATACAGCTTATTGATAACAACAACTACAAAATTGGACATGACTTTTTACTTAAACCAGACAAAACCTGAGGAAGAAGAAGACCAGATCAAATGGAAGACAAATATGCTAGAGCAAATACGGGGATCTGTGCCACCAGGGCGACAACTTAATGATTATAAATGGGCCAGTTTCTTTAGAAAATTGACAATTAGATGGTCTCCTTTAGTTCAAGTAACATGTACAAGAATGAAGGGAGATCTATCTGATGATTTAAAAGCATTGGTATGGAAGCCTGGTTGGCATAAAAAGAAAGCTAGAGTTAGATTTAAAAAATGGGGTCTTTTGATTTATTAGAGAGGATCCTAAAGTTTCAACTAATGGACTAAAGGGAGACTTTGAGATGAAGGAAATTTTGATTATTAGATTTAAATATTGTTGGAAAATAATAAAAAATAAGGGACTAATTGGCTTACTGATGAGGATTTAGATTTATAAGAGAAATGAAAATTAATAATTAGGAAATGGCTTTGAATTATTGTTTAGCCTGGATAACGCAGATCATGGATTTGAGATAATAAAGGATACTCTATTATTGTGGTAATGTAATAGGATGAGAAATAGAAAATGTTTATGAAACAAAATAAGAATATATCTACGTAAGTAATATGTGTATTTTAGATAGTATAACTTCTATGTAATGAAATAAAGGAAATTTGGGCTACCCGAAAATTAAATACTATGGATAGTAAAAGTTAAATTGGAATATCACAATTAAATATTAAAATTAGGTAAAACTTAAAAACAGGATATGGATATGTATAAGCAAAAATATATTGATAGATGTTTTAACTGAGTTGGATATAATTAGAAATTTACTAGCTTAAGGTATGTTATAGCAAATGTTAAGGGAAACAGAGAAGGAATTTTAGATGATGTAACCTGAGATATGTACTAAAGATGTTGTTATTGAATTATTGACTAACCCAATCACCACGTTGCTTTCCAAATACTCAATTGTAAAACTGGAAAACTAATAAAAAATTTGTTATAAAAAAAAGAAGTTAGGACTGAAGTACTTAGGACACTTCCCCATTGTAAAGATCATTAACCCAGTCACAGTGGAATTAAAACTTCCTAGGCTCTTAGGAAAAGTTCACCCTGTTTTCCATTGTAGCCTGTTGAAACCTTTTCAGGGTTCCACTTTAAGACCTCTCCCTAAGAAGGCACCCGGAGCCCTCATGGTGGCAGGACAGAAGCGCTATGAAGTAAAGCGTATCCTTGATTCTAGAATTTTTAAGGGGAAATTGCAGTACTTAGTGCAATGGAAGGGATATTTGTTGTCTGAGGCCACCTGGGTAAAGTCTAGCGATGTAAAAGCTGACAGACTCATTAATACGCTCTATAAGAAACACCCTAATAAACCAAGAAGCAGCCCCTAACCTGTGCTTTTGTTTACATTACAGGATTTGTCCTTTTGTAAGGCGGGCCAGATGTCAACGCTGCTAACATCGGATGTTCTTGCTTTGACAACACATGGAAATGTAGCCATTTTTTCTCTTTCACTTTTAGAGTTAGATGATGCTGGGAAGGGGGGAATGTGGATGAGAGTCCAGTTAGTCATAACAACAATAATTCAGCCGTGGGAATCAAGGTTATTGCACCCAGAGCTGATAAAGATTTGGTGGGCTGGAGAGCTGGGGAGAGAGGCCGTGCTTCAAGCTACTTGGGGAATGTGATTTATGACTGTTAATTGGAGGAGGGAATTGTGCTTTGCTACTTTGTGCCCAGGGGTGGGGAATTCAGTTTTTGGCTTTAACTATATAGTGCCGATACTTTGTTTCTCGAATAAAAGGTTCTTTAAGGTAAACAATGCCTTGAAGTTTTTTTAAAGAGTTTCATCTGTCGGAATCATGATACATAGATTAAATAAATATTTTCTTAGCATTACATATGAATTGGATCATTTTCCAGTTCTGAGAATTTTTATCAGCTTTATCAGAATGTTGAAAATTCTTTATAACTTGGTCTTGTCATGCTGAAAGACCAGATTGCACATTAGGAGACCCATAATTAATCTGAATATTTTTTTAACTACAGGTACAAGGAGATTGCTAGATTAATAAAATCCCCACCCGACATGATATTTTCGTTAACTCCGGTGCTCTGCAAGAACTTGGTGCCATGAACTACTTAGACCACTTCTCCTATTGTTCATAGCGATCGCATTTGATGAGAGGTGAAATCTAAAATATCTAGAGAACACTAGATTATTTGTTTCTATCCTGCACCATTTTCTTAAATCTAATATACTGCCCATTTGATAGTGCTCTTCTCTATAGTTCTTTCACTATGAAGCAAATAGAAGGTAAAAAGTAATTTGGTTCAAAGAAATTATGGAGAACATATTGCATCTTTTCTATTAAGCATTCCAAGGACAGGAATTTTGTTAAAACATATAGTCAAATAATTCCTGTGGTCTGAAGTGGAATGATTGAGTTATAGGATTTCTATCATAGTGAAAATTAGGCTGTTTTCATTTTGTCAGATCTACAATTCTCAGTGCTAGAATAATAACAGTTGAGTGTGAATAAAACAGACTACTAATTACAAAAAGAACAGGCAATATAAGTCAACACAGACATATTATATGAATTAACATTTGGATCCAACCAGGCTCCCTTTCTACTTTGAAATGGGGATGGCAGAAATGTCTGCAGGGTGAGTGAGTGTGTGTGTGTGTGTGTGTGTGTGTGTGTGTGTGTGTGTGTGTGCGTGTGTGTGTGTGTGTGTGTAAGAGAGAGGGAGGGAGGGAGGGAAAGAGAGAGAAAGAGAGAGAAAGAGTTTGCCTTTTTACATGTGCAAACAGGGTAGAACTTTGATCACATGGCTGTGGTCACAATCTGTTAGCTCTTTGAGTTAGGCTAGTCTAGGGAACTAAAGTTATGCATGCTAATCCTACTTTTATTATAGCATTATTGTAACAAAATCTCACAAGTCTGAATGTATTTCCTCCCTCCCTCTATTTATCTTGGTGAAAATTAGGGTCTTGTTTGAGATGCTCTGTCAGTTTACATTTCTGCCCTGGACTCAGATTTCTTTTATTTGAATCCAGGGCAGAAAAACCTGGACCATGTCTTGATTGCTGCTCTTCCTCCTATACCTCAAGGTTATTCCTTCTCCCATGACACCATCTTGACTTTTTTGAATCCCCTCTAAAGACATCTCCCACTCCCGTTCCATGATGAAAGTTGAGTATGAGATCAAAGTATTTCACTTCTTCAATCCAAGGATTAAACATATCAATTGTGCCATGAACACTTGGCATTTACTCAGTAAATTTTGGACACACTAGTTAAGCAACATCGTACATTCTTTATGCCTGTCCTTTATAAGGTTAACTCAAACAGCTCCTCACAGTTACTTTCAGTTAATAGTGATCACAGATCAGCCCAGACTTTCTATTGTAGAACCCACAGTGAAAATCATGGACATTATGCATTCAAAAACAGAATTTTTAAACATTTTATCCAAGTTCATCAATTTTTGATATATCTTGAAAATCACAGCCATGTTTGACAGAAACTATTTGATACCTGCTAATATATATTTTATGCTGGCAGTAACTCTGCCTTCTTTAGAGACAGTCTTCAGAATTGGATAGGTTGTCTCCCATTTAGAGACAGAAAATAAATAAATAAATAAAGTCTAAAATGATTCAGTCTTAAAATACAACCAGATGTTTCATGCATAATAATGGACAATAACAATCTCCTTCTCTTCCTTTCTTACCTGCCTTCCATGCCTGTTTTGCCAAGAAATCCAGCGGGTGCCATCCCGGCTGTAATTAATTTTGTACATTGGAGCAAATTCATTGCCATGACCTCCTGCATGCCGGCCTTGTGTCCCTACTAAGGTGATAAAATGCAACTCATGTAAATCAACCTCCAGGAACTCCTTGAGATCATCAGGTTCCACAGGGACTTCAGGGCACCATGCACCATCACCATCTTCTGATCCTAGCCTAAGGAAAAGCAGAGGGGGGGGGGGAAATCACTGTTGTTGTCCATCATCCCAAAGCTATATCTTTATCTTTCAAGCCTCTATGCATTGCCAACTATGTTGTACTATCTTGTTGCCTTATTATCTGAAGAGCAGGCTCCAGAACTTCTTTTTTCAGTGCTTTTCTATCCATATGACCCAAGTTTCTCAAATCCCGTTCAGCATGAACTCATGACAATGGTGTTGTTGATGAAAGAAACATATCAAGACATACAAGATTGGGAACTAAAACCCTAGTTTGAAATGTGAGATCAACTGACAAGTCTAGAACTACAAGAATATCATGAGGTCCAATTACTGTATGTTGTCCAAAAGCATGCTCAGAATGATTTTCAACTTATTCCAGCTAATTGCAGAAAAATGCAAACAACTCAGGAGACAGTATAATGAGCTTTTAGCCTCTTAAACTAAATTAACTGAAATCTCTAAAACAACATGTGAAGCCCCAGATCTAAGTATGCAGTATGAAACTGAAGCTGATGAAATATGACATGTTAATTATATGTTGCAATTGGTGCTTTCTGTTGTATCATGTTTGCTTCCATTTTATTTGTTCCTGAAAGTTTTAAAACAAAATAAAGTCAACTAGGACACAGGGTTTGCCAGGTTCCCCAAAATGTATCTAAGGCGACATTGTTTTATGTTCATGACCACACTCGTATCTAGCGTCTATAGGGAATGTGTGTAAAGAGGACTGAGGCATCCTAAAACTACAAAAATACTTTATTATAGCTCAGAAAACAAATCTCCTTCATTCATAATGATGCTGATAATCAATGACTACATTTTTATTTACAATATTCAAACATTAAGCCAAAAGATAACTTGTAATTTTTTTAAACTCTATATATTTGTTGAGGGGCCTAAACCAGAGGGCCCCAATCTTTTGGGCACTAGGGACTGGTTCTGTGGAGAAAGATTTTTCCATGGACTAGAGAGAGCATGGTTTTGTGTGCTGCCTGCATCCCACGGATGGGACTTTGCTTGTTTGTACAGACCGGTTGCTGACATGCCATGGCCTGGTCCCCAACCCCCATGGAATGGGGGTTGGGGACCCCTGGCTTAAACCATGGATAGTCATTAGACCAGCCATGCTGATTTTTTATCATAACTCTAAACCTAACCCTAACCATTTCTCTGGATACCATATTGTAAAACTTCTGAATTAACTAGAGACATTTATAGCTGCAGGCAATCTGGTACATCAGTCTAGTTGGCTAAGACACCCAGGTTCCTATCATTTTTACCTTCCATACTTGGCTGCTGTGGATTCAGACCATTGGCTTGAAGCAGAAATGTCTTCATCAGGGATGTGCCCACCTGACATACCTAAGGGGTAGCGACAGATAGCTGCAGAAAAAGAGATAGAAAGAAGATAGGAAGATATATCATTCACTTATAAATGGGTAGTGGGAATTTAAATCTCCCTGGCAGACCCCCTCTTTTTCCAAAAATTTCCTAATAAAAGGTACTTTTGATAGGCTGTTACCAATCAGGCCAGACTTCTAATCTTGATATAGCTAGAGGGAGGAGGGAATTGGCCGCTTTATCCAGAATAGCTCTGTTCAACTCAGCTTTCGGTAAACAGAAAGGAAAAGGTTTGGGGATCTTATTGCCCAAAATATAGAATTTAGTAACACCGGTTGAGCCAATCTTGAAATACAAAGCATAGCAATTGTAACAGCACAGCCAGGATGGTGTAAGGTGGCAAAAATCAGGAGACAGCATCTTTTCTGATTAACACATTTTACTTAAAGGCATGTGCTTTTGTAAGTTGCAGCTCACCATCAGATGTATAAAATGCTAAACTGATGTAGTATTTAAATTTGGGATGACTGGGAAGGGAAGATAGGTTAGTTAAGCAAATTACATGTGAGACAAATTGCAAGTACCTTTTCAAGTAACAATTATAATGTGTTAACAACTCATTGTGTTTGTTGGGACTTTCTGAGATGACCTTTTGATGTGTGTGAATCCAGCAATTTCTTGCTTGATGGTGGTTTTACAGTTGTGCAATCTTCAACATAGAAAGGTTTTAATAAGAAATTGCATTATAAAATTAGTCACACCATATTTTAGCTATATAAAGGAATTTATTCAGAAAATATATAATATAAAGAATATAATATAAAATATAAAGAAAACAACAGGAAGCAACAATTACATTCACAATTCAAAATTGGGAATAAAATGAATATAAAATAATATATAAAATAAAATCAATATAATGCAAACACAAAAGAGCTGATTTTAACAAACTCAAAGAGAGCTTGGGAAAGAGATGGATGAAAATCCTAGAAGGGAAAACAACTCAAGAAGCATGGGAAACTCTGAAAAATATGATCATAAAAGCCCAGTCCAGCACAATACCACTGAAAAGGAAAAGAAATATAAGAAGAAACCAGCATGGCTGCACAAAGATCTCTCTGATAAACTCGAAGACAAAAAGGACAAGTATAAAAAATGGAAAGAGGGACACATAACTAAGGCAGAATATAAGCAGATAGAATCTACAAAGACGAAGTCAGGAAAGCAAAGGCTCAGAATGAACACAGACTTGCAACAACAATCAAAGATAATAAAAAAAAGTTTCTTTCAACATATAAATAACAAGAAAAAAATCAAGGAAACAGTCGGTCCACTAAAGAGAGAAGACGTCAAGGAAGTAACAGGCAGCAGAGGGAAAGCAGAGCTGCTTAACTCATTCTTTGCATCAGTCTTCACACAAAAAAGAAATTATAGCCCAACCTACCAAAAACATAACTGTAAAAGACAGACTAAAAATAAAAGTTAAAATAAGCAAAAAAAAATGGTAAGAGAACACTTGTCTGATCTTGATGAATATAAATCACCAGGACCTGACAGATTACACCCCAGAGTTCTAAAGGAGTTGGCAGATGTCATCTCAGAACCATTGTATCATATCTTTCAAAAATCCTGGAGCACCAGGGAACTACCAAAGGATTGGAAAAGAGCTGATGTAGTTCCCATCTTCAAAAAAGGGAGAAAAAAAAAACTAGATCCAGGAAACTACAGACCAATCAGCCTAACATCAATACCTGGGAAGATACTGGAAAAGATAAATCGTAAAACAGATCTGCGAACAACAATAAAAATCCAAGAAAAATATTATCTATGAATGAACAGATAATTATTGAGGCTATCAATTATTATGCAATGTAACATTAATAAAGGTTCTACAGTAATGATGATAAAAAAGTATAAATGTGTGAGTTTAGTGACCATATCACCACTGTGGTAGTTTTTAAAATAGAAGAAAAAGAAAAAGGGGAAAAACACACCTAAAAACAATATATATAAATTTAATTTCTGAGTTCCCCCTTCTTTGCATTCTCTATATTCCCACTAATTTGTTGGCTTAACGTTTAGAAACCATACTCTAAATGTTTTCATTTACCTTGCTGTGCAATATATAATATATGCAGAAGTCATGCTTGCATAACACAGCTTCAAATTCTAAGATACTGTGCATGAGTTCGCATTACTTATGAATAATAAAATAAAACTTTATTTATCCAAAACTTACATGAAATGAATAATGCTTAAAGACTATCACAGAAAACTCTTTGGACTTGTTAAAACCAGTTGCAAATTTCATTTGCAGATTCAGCAAGAGAAATATGCATGCTGTAAAAGAGTAGAAGATCTAATGTTACTTTTACTTATTTAAAAGTAATCTTTATTTAACAAGTTTCAGCTAAGCGTAATGTAATACTAATAAATTCATTCATCTTCTGATTAAAACACTGCATGAGGTATTTCATTTGGAATTAGATACAGACGTTTCTGTCATTCAGGAATCTGACAAGACTTGAATACAAACCCTCATCTTTTTGAAAGTATTTTTATTCAGGTCATTCTAAATATGCATATTGTCTTACTTTCCATAGATGAATTCATTTCCATTGAACCTTGGAAGACTGTAACAATTTTCAATTATTGTTTAGACAGTTGTTTATCTGTTAATTATGAAAAAAACCTAGTGTTTCCTAAGCATAAGAAAAGCTTAGATGACAGATTTTCATATGATGCAGTGGATCCAGGAATATAAATATTTAGTGAAAGTATTTAAGCTAATAGTAACTGAACATTGCACTCTAAGTGGGCTATCTTTAGGGATATGCAAACTTCAAATGCAAATATTAGATTATTTTTTCCTAGTGTACCTGTTGTAATTGAATGTTCATAAAGATATTCTTTTAAAACAACTTTCATATAGAGCACCTATTTGGGGAACAAGAGAGCTGTATGCTTTAGAATCAATACCAGCAAAGTTTTAAAAATGCAGTTCTTAACACAGTTAAGTATTGAACAGAAGTTAAGACTTAAAATGATGACAACAAAAGGTGATCTTCCGTTCACTCTGAATTACTGCTGTATTTGGACTGCATTGTTTGCTATTCTTTCAGAATTGAGCTTTAGAATTTTCGATGATTCTTTTTTAAATTTGTCTTAATCTAAATAAATTTTGACATTTTATTGATTCATCATTTAATCTTATAAAGATCAATACACTTTAACATAAAAAAATCTTTTTCTTGAATCTTTTCACAAGGCTGTATAATAATAATGAACAAAACAATCCACACATTGGAACAGAGGCATTCTTCCAGGGGAAATGTTAGCATGTTTCCTATCCTTATACCCTCAATTTCCTTTTTTATCTTTTCTTTTTAAATGCATTGATTTAAATGTCAATGAATAAAATTAATTTTGTTTAGTACCTTGAGATATATTCTTTTGTGATTATTTTTCTCTAATAAAAATTAAATAAAAGTAGGAAAAATTGTCTCCTATTAAATGGACAGAGGGCAATGCTTAAAAGTTACATGGGGGGGGGGGAACCAAGACATGTTGATGTAAAATCAAGATGCAAAATGGAATTCTTTGCAATGATCTTGCGTTTTGAAAATGTGCTTACTGGAAAAAACAGATAACTATTAGTTCGATTTTTCACCTGTGTCATAATCAATGTCTTAGATGTCTCCATCATTTGCCAGATATATTTTCATATTGAAGTTTTACCTCTACAACAGAACCTGGGAGGACTGTATCCAGTTTCTGCTCTCAACTGCTCTGAACCACATTTCTAGGAAGCTCACTTCTTTCATGCATTTTGGCCTGTGCCTATATATCAAAGAGATGCCTGCCCTGTAGAAAGTTGCAATGGTACCTAACTGGCTTCCTGGAGTTTTCTTTGGGAATCTGTTCTGAAGTTTCTAAAATAAACTAGCCATCTCACCCAAAAAATCTGTCCATCCAAGATTTGAGTACTAATTTTTCTAGGGGAAAAAAAAAAGCAACTGCCTAATAATGAAATAATCTTATCAATTCTTTTCATCAACTTAGAAGCAGAAAGCAGAAAGATGGATTTTGCAAGAAAGGATGTAAAAAACTGATATTTAAAGAAATGAAACAGAGATCATTTAAAATTTTACTTATTCTTCCAAACAATATCATTTTGCTTTTTGAGCAGTTGACTAAAAATAGAAGTCCTACTCTGTTTTGAAAGAACCACTATTTCACAATTTCCAAGATAGAAAATGGAAGATTTCATCTTATCAGTTATACTGTAACTTACATTAAATATATATACTTAAGTACAGAAGTAAAATACAAACTTCAATGTCCCTTGAATATATAATAATTTTCTGTAAGAACATAATACAATACAAGCCAAATTTAATTGTGAATTATTGTTTTGGATAAGCTAGCATAGCCACTTTTATTTATATTAAATTGAAACAAAGCTGGTTCTTATAACAACAAATCTTTTTAGTAAAATTCTATATATCCATAAACAGTATATGTATGAGATGCCATTATATAATATTTTACTTTTCTTTTCCTTTTTTCTGTTAATTGAAGGCAAAAGGAAAACTCTAATATTGATGAATAATTTATGAAAGTTCTAAAGATCTTTTTTTCAGAGACTTTGATATGATTAAAAAATTAGAGAGTCAAATAAAAGGCCTTTCCTAAAACCACCTTGTTCTCATATGCATGTTTTTCCCATACAGGTAGTCCTTGCTCAGTGACCAGAATTGGCACCAGCAATTCCATTGCTAATTGTCATGGTCACTAGGTGAAACATCAAGTCTGCAATGATTTTACAACCTCATTTACATTTCAGTCATTAAGCGAGACATCATGTGGGTGCATCCTCCAATAACTATGCTTGTTGGAAACCAGTTGTGAAGCCATACACATGGCAATCATGTGACTGAAATATGCTTCAATGGACATAAATGTGAGCATTGGTTGCAAAATTGTTGTTTTCTTAACACTGTTGTAGGTAAACAAGGTAGTGGGGAAGCAAGGATT